CGATGGTATTGTTATGGCTAAGTCGGCGGCTAGTTAAAGTCAGCATTTGTTGTTGTTGTTCCATTGTTGTTGTTGTTGTTGTGGCGCTGCCTTGTCAATTATTGGTAGAGCAGAATTTAGAACGCAAAAAATATATATACATATATATTGTTGTTAACCACAAAGACACCAAATCAATGCCCGATGCTATTGTTATTGTTCTTTTTGCTGTTCTTATTCCTGCGATAGGAAGAGTCCAACTCGAATGCTAAGTCTACATCCAAGTCATACAAAATGCCACCAATTTCCGGTATTGTATACCTTGAAGCTTTTTTATCTACGTCCATTTTAGATAGTTCTAGTTAGCAAGTAGTTCAGATACATTTTCTACTCTCGGAACTGAGAATTCATTTAGAGCTACTTAACATTGTAAAGTCATTTCTTCATTCGACATCTCCTTTTTAATGTAGTGCAATAAAAACCTTATCGAAATTTAGTAAATTATGTCCTTACATTTGTAGAATGTTCTTAGCAATCTATTTGTACAACATAAACTGTAAGTCGAATTTATCTCGAATCGAATTCGCTTTTCCCATACTAAATATAGATTTAAAATGATTTGTAATATTTCAATTCATTCGAAATAAACTGAAAATATTTTAAAACAAAACACTGAATATTGACCTTATTATTCAATAGACCAGTTACGTGTGTTAGTGGGCCAGGTTCTAGTAGGGGGTAATGACTAGAGCTGCAAAAAAAATGTTAGACTTTTCCGCAGTTTATGTTTAAGTTACAGTGTGTATATGGATTCTGACATCCAATGCAAAATAAAACAAAATGAAAGTCAAATATATATCAAAATTCTATATAGCTTCAGAAGAACATATTTTGTATTCACAATATTATTTTATATTAAATTTTATTTTATTTGTATTCATATTTTATCTGAAAGTTAATTTCGGCGGCTAGACAAACAAATTTAGTTCCAATATTAGTTTACAAAGCTTGAATGACTTTTGCTTTCGATTTTGATCGAGTATTTGATAGTCCCTCTTAAAATAACTAATTCAAAACTATAACAATTTTTTTTCCAAAAATTTTTTTTTATAACTTAATTTAAGATTTTATCTCTTACTAATCTAGATTTTATAATTATATTGAGTCTTGACATTTTCTATTTTTTGTCTAAAATAATTTGATTTTTAGTAGTTTTTATTAAAAGGTAAAGCTAAAAGTCGATGTTGAGTGGTGCTAGGTTTTGGTCATTGTACCAGCTTGATCTTCTTTTCGTCGCTCCTCTTCGAACTGCTCTTTAATTCTTGCACGTCGCTTCACCTCTTTTCTAACTTTCACCTTATTTTGCCAGAACTGATCGGTAAGCAGTTCATCATAAACATCACTCTGATTGTTTGCTTGTTGCATCAGTTCCAAATCTATGGTTGCGGCCCAAGGACGGCGCGTCGTTATTTCTGTCTGGTAAAAAGCTGTATTGTTGACCTTGAAAGGATTGGGCTTGATAAAAAAGGCAACATAGCCGGGCTTCTTCACATCCCGCTCCACGGGAAAAACACTAAACAAATTAATAGATAAATAGCAATTTTGTTGTTGGGACTTAAGTCTTACCAATAGGCTTCCACATCCTTTTCTACCTTGTTACCCCACCAGGCGCCCACCACACGAAAGGGACATGAACGATTCCTGCCCGCATCCAGTTGAATCACTTCACCTACTGAAAGGTATAGCAAATCTGTTGTGTTCGACTCGACAAGGTGAGCCTTGCGCAGCGTGAACAGATCATTGAAACTCGATATGACAACATCATCGTATAAATTATAAACCAACTGTTTGTTGTTATTCTGCCCTATGATTAGCATAGCCAAGCGCATCTTATTCATTATATGAGCCAAGGACAAATAATTTATGTTCAAGTCCTTGTAGTCATCGGTGAGATAGCCAAATATCCAATGCCTAAAGTGCACCCGAACTGGCAGCTCCAGTCGATACATCAGCAACCAAGGACCGCCCCAGCTATTGTTGAATTGACACAATACTTTAGCGGGCAGCCCGTGATCTCGACCAAGTGTAATTCCAAACACCTCATGTAATCGCATATCCTCATTACATTCGGCTTCCGGATATTTGAAAAAGTTGGGTAAATGCGGCGTTGCACTTAACCAATCGATGGTTGTTGTCGTTGGAACGGTTTTTGTACTAACAGTGCTTGTTCCTCCATTGTCTGTACCATTGCCTGGTCCACCAATGCTAGTACCATTGCCTGGTCCACCAATGCTAGTACCATTGCCTGGTCCACCAATGCTAGTACCATTGCCTGGTCCACCAATGCTAGTACCATTGCCTGGTCCACCAATGCTAGTACCATTGCCTGGTCCACCAATGCTAGTACCATTGCCTGGTCCTCCAATGCTAGTACCATTGCCTGGTCCACCAATGCTAGTACCATTGCCTAGTCCACCAATAGCTGTTGTTGTTGGAACGCTGTTTGTACTAGCAGTGCTTGCTCCTCCATTGTCTGTACCATTGCCTAGTCCACCAATGCTAGTACCATTGCCTGGTCCACCAATAGTTGTTGTTTCTGGAACGGTATTTGTACTAGCAGTGCTTGCTCCTCCATTGTCTGTACCATTGCCTGGTCCACCAATGCTAGTACCATTGCCTGGTCCACCAATGCTAGTACCATTGCCTGGTCCACCAATGCTAGTACCATTGCCTGGTCCTCCAATGCTAGTACCATTGCCTGGTCCACCAATGCTAGTACCATTGCCTAGTCCACCAATAGCTGTTGTTGTTGGAACGCTGTTTGTACTAGCAGTGCTTGCTCCTCCATTGTCTGTACCATTGCCTGGTCCACCAATGCTAGTACCATTGCCTGGTCCACCAATGCTAGTACCATTGCCTAGTCCACCAATAGTTGTTTCTGGAACGGTGTTTGTACTAGCAGTGCTTGCTCCTCCATTGTCTGTACCATTGCCTAGTCCACCAATGCTAGTACCATTGCCTGGTCCACCAATGCCAGTACCATTGCCTGGTCCACCAATGCTAGTACCATTGCCTGGTCCACCAATGCTAGTACCATTGCCTAGTCCACCAATAGCTGTTGTTGTTGGAACGCTGTTTGTACTAGCAGTGCTTGCTCCTCCATTGTCTGTACCATTGCCTGGTCCACCAATGCTAGTACCATTGCCTGGTCCACCAATGCTAGTACCATTGCCTGGTCCACCAATAGTTGTTTCTGGAACGGTGTTTGTACTAGCAGTGCTTGCTCCTCCATTGTCTGTACCATTGCCTGGTCCACCAATGCTAGTACCATTGCCTGGTCCACCAATGCTAGTACCATTGCCTGGTCCACCAATGCTAGTACCATTGCCTGGTCCACCAATGCTAGTACCATTGCCTGGTCCACCAATAGTTGTTTCTGGAACGGTGTTTGTACTAGCAGTGCTTGCTCCTCCATTGTCTGTACCATTGCCTGGTCCACCAATGCTAGTACCATTGCCTGGTCCACCAATGCTAGTACCATTGCCTGGTCCACCAATGCTAGTACCATTGCCTGGTCCTCCAATGCTAGTACCATTGCCTGGTCCACCAATGCTAGTACCATTGCCTAGTCCACCAATAGCTGTTGTTGTTGGAACGCTGTTTGTACTAGCAGTGCTTGCTCCTCCATTGTCTGTACCATTGCCTGGTCCACCAATGCTAGTACCATTGCCTGGTCCACCAATGCTAGTACCATTGCCTGGTCCTCCAATAGCTGTTGTGGTTGGAACGGTGTTTGTACTAGCAGTGCTTGCTCCTCCATTGTCTGTACCACCTGGTCCACCTGGTCCACCAATGCTAGTACCATTGCCTAGTCCACCAATGCTAGTACCATTGCCTGGTCCACCAATGCTAGTACCATTGCCTGGTCCACCAATGCTAGTACCATTGCCTGTTCCACCAGTATTTGTTCCATTATTGCCTGTTTAATCAGTGTCTATGCCATTATTGCGTGCTTCATCATGTTCCACCTGTTCCATCCATACCTGTCTCATTATGGCCTGTGTCAGTAGTGCCTGATCCAATAGTTTCATCAGTTGTCGGTATCTTGTCGGTTGCATGATGCAATTTTTCTATGGATATGCATTGGTATTGATATTGTTGATATCACCGTTCAGCTATATAATACCTTCACTACTGTCACTACCACTTTCTGTTTCATGACTGTCTGATTGGTCAGGTATGTATGGATTTGAAGCGCTTTGCGTGCTGTTGGGGAGGTTCATTAATCTAATTACATTTTCTTCGCTTGAATTGTCAGTTGCAGTCCGATAGTTGTTAAATACGAAATTAATATAGTACGTTTGACCCAGCACCGCCATGGGCAGCAAAGCTGTCCACCAGCAACAGAGCAACATTGCTACTACTGATGACCACCAAGTCGATACTGGTGGACACGCCTCAGCCGTGGGTTCTCTTTATAGGCTCGGCTCCTGACCGCAACCAATGATATTTACCCTGCGCTGATTATGCTATCAAATCATCATTCTGGCCAGCTGCTCACAGCCCATAAAACTTAAATCAATTTGTATTGCTCGGCATTGGAACTTTAACGGCCATGATGACCTAGAGCCTTGGCATCGATATTGATGGTCCACTTGTCGAATGATTCCAAGGCATAGTAGCAACACATGAAATGCAGTTGCTAGTTGAAATCAATCGATAAACTCCTCAAGACTTCGAAAACAAAAGGCTTGTTTCTATTTAATTTAATATTTGTAATAAATATTTATTTGAGGTAAAAATATTGTGAATATCAATTGAATATTTCCTTAGATGCTTGCACCCTAACTCTAGTCAAATTTAAGCTGAAAAGTCTGTAAATACGATTTCAATTAGCTCTATCTGCAGCTTCTTTTCATATATCACAGCTACGCTGTCCAAAATTCCATTGAACTACGCTCAGCTGAAGGAAGTAGAGTTGATTTCGGGTTTGATTTAACTGTTAAGTGAAAACACAGCAATTTTAAGACAATTCCTTTATTAATTATACAATTTTTAATGGGCAAAAATTCATTAATTGTAAAGTCATTGGGCTGTGGATTCCCGTTTGAGGATCTGCATGAAAGAGCAACGTTAGAAAACAAATGCAGGCAACATAAAGGAGAAGGGATGGCGACAGGGAGAGGGGGAGAGAGAGAGAGAGAGGGAACGCCAGTGCGAGTGATTACCTAGACCAGTAAGCCCTAGCGCTCGATGAATTCCTCGTAGTCGTCGTCATTATACATCCTTTCTTTACCTCCCGTTTCCTTTAAATTGCTGCCGGAACTATCCGCTTTATTTTGCTGAGATCCCGAGCGCGGGTTGCTGCCTGAGTGGCCATGACTCTCGGAGCTCTCGTATATGGAGCGAACATATCGGCCGCCGAAGCTATCATCGATGCTGATCTCATAGCTGCTGTGATGGCTGTGATCGTTGGCCGGCCTGTTTTGATTTTCTGCCGCCTGCAGCTGTTTGGCGCGTCGATCCGGCGTATCGTGGCTATCACTGTCGTCGTCATCTTCATCCAAGAATCGTTGTCCATCCTCTTTACTCTTTTCTTTGCCAGATTTGTTACCGCTGCCATTACCACCATCCACACCTTGATTGGATCCTTCGCCGCCACCGCCACCACCGCCAGTACCGCTGCCATTATTGTCAACAGCGTCAGTATTGGCGGTATTGCCGCTATTATTGTCAGTGCTGCCACCGGCACCACCGTTTTCACCACTGCCCGGATCAGGACTGGTCTGCCCGCTATTGCTGCCAGATGGCGTGGTTTCCGACCCGCTCGATCCATCGTTGGGATTGTTGTTGTTGAACGCAAAATTCATGTAGTACTTCTGGGCCCGCACCGCGGTGGCCTGCAGTTGCCAGAGCAGCAGTCCTAGGGCCAGTATGCGAATGCTCAGCCGGGTCCTCATGATCCCAAATAGACTCTAAACAGCAGCCGCCCTGTTTTCTCTCTTATATATAGATGACGGCCGTTCAGTGCATCGAATCGCATTGTCGGGCCGCCAATCAATTTCGATTTGAGTCCTCCACAGCGCCATCTCGAAACCACCGTGAAACGCTGCGCCCATAAAACGATCACTGCACAAAAATGAATGCTCTTCATGAGTTATTCATAAATATTTGTATTCACTTCATATATATGAAGGAAATTTGGACGTAATTTATTTAGAATATTCATCTTTGACGTGGGAGAGACGCGAGATTAGCCTGCGACATGCTTCTTAATAGAGCAATATTGATTTAATAACAACAATAAGAGTTCCCTTATCGGGAGTTCCCCACTGGGGAATACCCGAACTGGGAAATGCGAGCTCTCACTCTCAATGGCCACTAGAAGGAAAGAGTGCCAGTAAATATACAACTCAGCCGCATTAGGGACACATTTGACTAAGCCTCTGTGAAGTCGTCTCCTCTCGCGCTGTTCTTAAGCCAGAAAACTTAAATGAGATTTGGGGCTGAACTTTGTTTAGGGCACGTTGCACATATTTGTTTCAGCATGTAGAGGGAGGGCAGCAGCGGAAGGGGCGGGCGTTGTTTTTCCGCTTGCTGCACAGTGGCAGTTCGCTTGGCAGTCGGCAGCCGCAGCTCCCGACGCTGTGGCAGCTGTGTGGCAAACAGGTTGCGGCTGCCACAGCGGCCTCGGCCTCGGCCTCGGCCACGGCCACGGCCATGGAATTCAATCAGGGCCAATCTATAATAGAAATCTCATGTGGAGGGGCAGGCAGCAGCTTGCTTCCAACTTGCGACTTGCGACTCGCGACTTGCAACTTTGCTGCCCACTTTCAATCGCTGTTGGCGTCGTGCGCTGCAAATATGAAAATGCTACTGCGCTCGATCTTCACCGGAGGCAACAGCAGCTAAAAATCGTTTTTCATTAACAATTTTAAAAGCAGCGCATTAATCACACACACACATACACACACTCACACAGGCATACGCCCTGCATGTTGCATGCATAAATTTTATAAGCTTCCAACTAATTCTTTTCTCTCTCTCTCTCTCTCTCTCTCTCTATCTCTGTCTTCCCGCTTGCAGCACTTTCGTGAGCAGAGCATCGATGGCACGGGCTTGCCGCTGCTAACCGAAGAACATTTAGTTAGCTCGCTGGGCATGAAGCTGGGTCCAGCGCTGAAGCTGCGCTCGATATTGGCGAAGAAATTGGGCGGGCCCTGTCCGTGTGTTGCGTGCGTTGCGCAGGCGCAACAGATGCTGGCATTGCAAACGGGCGGGACACCAGCAGCAACAGGAGCAGCAGCAGCAACAACAACAGGCGCATCGGGAGCAACGACAACAACAGCAACTGCAACAGCTACAACAACAAATGTTGTAACTAGTTGCAGCAGTTTGTCCAACAGTAGCAGCAACAGCAGCAACAGCAGCAGCAGCAGCAACAACAACAGCAACAGCAGCAATAACAACATGCCCGATAGCTGCAATGGGCCTAGCAGCAGCAACATTGTTGCGGCAGCTATGTTGCGCTGCAGCTTTGATGCCGCCGATAGCAACAATGATGCTGCCAGCTAGTTTTCCTCTGTCACAAATCGAAATTAAAAGAATTAAATTAAAAATAATCTAAAGTTTATATAAATACAAGAATATATATATATATGCTAAAATAAATTGCATTTCAACTGCAAATGGTGTACCAAATGAGCTTTCAAATGAAAACGGAAAAAACAAACACATAATTAATATTAAAATAAATAATATTAAAATATTACATATAGACTATTATATACAACTTGAATTAGGCATAGCTAAAGTTGAAAACTTTTTAGGACCACAGCAAGAATCGCAAAAGTCTTCCATTTGCATGAGAGAAAGAGAAAAGTTAAGAGTAAATTATAATATATAATGTTATGATATACACTAACTTTCAATTATATTCAATGAAGCAATTTAGTCAATTTTAATGAGTTTTTCTATTAAACAATATTCAATGTACTTAATGTTGCACGACATTTTTTATATTTGTAATTTATTTGACTTTTATTTTGTATACATAATTATATTTTATTTTCTTCATTAACTGCTAGTCAGTAATTATTATAAAATTATTTAATAACATTCAGCCGAGAACTTAAACTAAATCAAATTCAAATTAAAAATTTCCCAATTTCCTTAAACATTTTTTAGCAAAGAAAAGGCTATTTATTTTATGTATTTATATTATACAATATTTTAAATATTTGTTAAATCAACAAAAATAAGCACCCTAATATATTTGTTGTTTACATTTATTCTTTTTTTTATTGATTTTTTGCGGCCATTGCACATTGGAATTCAAAATTCAGCATAAATTTAAGAGCTCCAAGACTTGAAGACAAACAACAAACAAAAAAAACAACAAGAAATACATTGTATATATTGTTTATTTAATTATACTATATTAGACATACATATCTTATAAATGAATATATATATATATATTATATACATAAGCAACTGACCAAGCGTCGGTCTACTTAAAGTTTATGTTTACATTTAGGCAAGCAAATAATTGATTTATTTTTATTAAATTTATACATCTAAATATATACATGCATATATAATTGAGTATATATTGTATATTAAAACAAATACTTAGCTATTTTTCACACGGCAAATAAATTATAAACAAACAAAAAAATACAAAGCAAAACAACCGCATTTTCTATACCCCTCTCCCCTTCTCAATCTCTCTCTCTCTCTCTTTGTAGCTGTGTCTCCCTCACTTTGACCTCCAGCTTGGGGGTCAAGCGTAACCGTTGCGCCAAAAGCCAACCAAGGATGCACTGCCCAACCAATTAAAAGCACGCAGCTGGAGAGCTCTAGCTGCGGCTCAAGCGCCGACTGCAGCTACGGCAACGCCAACGGCTTCAACTGCAATTCGAGCCTCACTTCAACGTCTAATTACAAATTGGAGTCATTGAATTTAATCGCTGCAAGAAATCCGCATATGCACCTCGAATGCACTCGTGGCACGCACGCCAACTGTGTCTGCAGTCGGTCATAACTCGCTGCCTCTGGCCGAACTGGCACAGGGCATTGCTCGCCCCTGCTGCTTGACCCAACCGCAACGGCGAATGGAGCCGGCATATTCGCACTTGGATACCACATGATTTAGCTAACTGTATCATTACAATGCTATATGGTTTCCACTTCAGATCAGACAGTTAAATACTCGGCTGCTACACGGCGAAACTTAGGTCATCAATTCTATAAAATTTTCAGTTATGCTCTGTTTATATCTATAGATATCTTCTCAGATATGCATGTGTTGGTAGAGGAGATGATGAATTGGTCAATATAAAATGTCTGAGATGAATTAAATGGGTATTCAAAACCATCCTTAGCTCTAATCTGAGCAAAGCTAAACATAATTTAATCATTGCGAGCAATTGTAGATGAATGTTTAAATTGCTAAAGACTGAACTGAATTAAATGCAGCAAGCAATAGCAATATTCCTCATATCTAACGCGGGCGATTATATGAATATGTATGAAGAGCCTCCAAAAAGGGAGCTGTAATATTCGATAAATAATGCAACTAAAACATACAGCGAATTATAAAAAACACAAATCGCTCTGATGGTTACATAATCTTTTTATTTTATGGAGAAAGTGTTTTATTTAAAAATAATAATATTTTTGTTGGATGGTGGTGAACTATGATTAATAAAAATTAGATATTAGCCTGAATGTATGTATATGGATCTTATTGTAACTATTTTGGCTGGCTTATCATGTTGCCTCTATGTGGCAATGGGCGTCGCTTCGTTTTCGCCCAGTGGCGCCTTGATATTTCCATTCTTCTGCTTAGCGGTAGGCAGTTCCTTAATGCCCGTGGAGCCAAATCCTGCCTCTCCACGTTCAGTATCCTCCAGTTTGTTAACTTCCTCTAATTCCGGATAGAAGATGCGTTCGCATATGAACTGGGCAATGCGGTCGCCATGCTTCACTTCGAAGTCCGTGTCCGAGTGATTGAAGAGGACAACACCTAAATTTCCGCGATAATCCTCGTCCACAACACCGGCGCCCACATCGATAAAGTTCTTTACGGCCAGCCCGGAACGCGGTGCTACGCGACCGTAAGAGCCTTCCGGCACCTGCACCTGCAGATCCGTTTTGACCACAGCTTTGCCACGCGCTGGCACCACAACATCGTAAGCGCTGCGTAAGTCATAGCCGGCAGCTCGTGCGGATCCACGCTGGGGCGCCAAAGCATGCTCTGTGAGCTTGGCAAAACGCAAAACGCACTTATTGTCGATCTTCATTTTCTTAGCTGCTGGTATATCAACTTGTGCGTCTGGCGAGGACATCTATGAATGGCTTTAATTCTGTATTGGAATCTACGCGCAGCTCAGCTAGTTTCAAGCAAAAAAACGCGGGAACAATTCCTCAAAATGGTCGAAAAGCAGCCCATAGCTTTAGCACTGCTGAGTAGTGGAGCAACACTGAAACCAGGGCTGCAATTATTCGTTAAGTTGCGCATTTGTGCGTTAGTGTGCATTGCATGCATAAATAAATTTGAACAAATTTAAAATACGAATACACAAATTTTCCGCTCGAATAATGTGCACATATATAGATTTACATTTGCTTGAATTTTTTGTTAAATGCAAATTATCGCGCCGGCAAGCTGTATTGGATATTTATCGATAAGCCGCCACAATTTGCAGTCAGCTGTCAACAAAATCGCATCTACAAGGCCAATTGACCGGTCCGATGGTACACAAATATTGATTTGCAATACTTGCAACTTAGTTTAGTAATTTAGCACGTAGTTATGGATTTCACAGACTTCGAGGTGCGAAAGGTAGGAAAGACTTGCCTCAAAGCTCCCCTATGCGTTAACTACTAGTAAAACATTAATTGCAGTGCCCACCAACCGTCATGTACATTCCAAATTTTATTACCTCCGATCAGGAGAGTTCCATACTAAGTCACATAGAGAGAACACCGAAGCCTCGGTGGACGCAACTACTTAATCGACGGCTCGTTAACTATGGCGGCATTCCTCATCCGAACGGCATGATAGCCGAGGAGATACCTGAATGGCTGCAGAGCTATGTGGACAAAGTCAACAATTTGGGGATCTTCGAATCCCAGAAAGCCAACCATGTACTAGTCAATGAATACCTGCCTGGTCAGGGCATTCTTCCACACACCGACGGACCGCTCTTCTACCCAATCATATCGACCATTTCATGTGGGGCACACACCGTGCTGGAGTTCACCAAGCGCGAGACTACGGGCGAGGCCAACGACGGCGTGGTAGTCTTCAAGCTGTTACTGGAGCCGCGCAGCTTGCTGATCTTAAAGGATACGCTCTATAGCGATTATATGCATGCCATTAGTGAGATCAACGAGGACACGCTATGCGATCGCATTTGCAATTATAATCTCTGCGAAAACACCTATAAGATCGGGGATCATCTAGTGCGCCGAGCTCCTCGCATTTCCCTAACTATCAGAAATGTTCCAAAGACGAGCAAAATGAAGTTAAAGTTTTGCTAGACTGTTAAAGCATTGTTGTTACCACAAAGTTGTTGTTAACCACCCACTGAAGTCAGCCCACAAGTTGCCGAAGCGCAAACGTAAATCTAACTCAAAGTTATATATTCGATATTCTTTAAATCTTCCGCTAGACATAAGAAAGAGCACAAAGCAATGTTTCATAATAGTTTCTTATAGCCCACCAAGTGCTTTCATTTCGATTTTATACCAATTATTGATGTAGATACATATATATCGTATCCGTTTAGCAAAGTTTCATAATGTAAAAGTTTCCACAGTGCTTTATTTTTCGATATTATACCAATTTTGTATATAAAGATGTATATCTAAATGATTTATATATTTAGTTACACCAAGCAATATGCAAGCACTTGTTAATGCCAGGTCCTGTATTAAGGCTCGTATTATATAGTTGTATGTATAAATATGTATTCCTTATATGCTTGCGTGTATTTTTGTGACATTTTTAGCACCCAAAAATGAGCAAAATTTGAAATTGAAAATTTTGAATAAATTGTTAATTAATTGAAGACACATCCAACTTTCTGCAGATCCTCCAGACTAGACCTCGTCTTGCCATTCCAGTCGAAACTCCCGCTCGAATACCAGCCTATCGTACAGTCGCACCTCGCTAATGCGCGCCGATATGTCCAGACGTAGTTCACTGACGGCCAGGTGAAAGTTCTGACGCACTGTTCGCTGCTTGTCCGGCGTCAGCTGATTGAGGGGTTTCCGGAAGACGCTGATGATGCGCTGCAAATGATATTCGACACTCGCGCAGCGTCCAATGCAAACCCACAGGTTCTCCGGATCGTGAATGTTGCCGGGGAAGCGAGTGCGCTGATCGAACGGTGCCTTGCCGGAGAGCAGGGCACGCACCTCCGCCACAATCTCCTGATGGGTCTTCAGGTCCCGTGTACTCAGAGTCTTGAACTCGTATTTGTCGCAGAAGTACATAAGATCACTGATCGCGCACCAAGGCTGCGAGCTGAGTGTTGTGTGGTTGTTATTCCAGTTGCTGTAGCCAGCAGCTGTTTTGCTCGACTGCTGGGCCGAGGCTGTGGTCGTGGAGGACGCGCTGGTCTTGGCTAAGGTGGATGTCGAGGAGGTGGTGCTGGTGGTGGTGGTACCGGTGCTGGTGGTGGTGCTGGTGCCGGTGGTGCTGTTGCTGCTGCTGTTGGCATTGTTGGCTCTGGCTGCGTCTTGCCGGCTGGCTTTGTCGGCTGCCTTCAGCAGCTGCTCCATTTCCCGCTCATGCTCGCGCTGTCGCATATATGCCTCCTTCTTCTGTTGCAGCTCCTGCAGCTTGGTCAGCTTAGGTGGGGACTGGGGCTTGAAGAGCGAGGGGGGAGGCGACACCGTGCGCGTGACTGTAGCCGTGCCCATGTCAGAGATCTGTGCCGGGTGCGATTCCAGCTGTGTTCCATTGCCATTTGTGTCCGATGAGGCACTGCGTCCATATTTGGCGCGATAGCGCTCCAGGGTGTCCAGGGAGAAGCTGAGCTCCTTTTTTAACGTTTTCTGCATTTTCTGCCTTATGTAATCGAGTTGGGAACGTTGTGACTGCGTGTTCGCCGAAAATTTACAAGCAAATGCGATCGAGATCGAGAAACGGAAAATTCTTGCCGATGCGCGCTCTTTATTTTTATCTTTTATCAATTGGCGGCACCGACGCGCGGACGTCGACGTCGAGCACTTGGGCGCACTTTATTTTGGTCGGATCATACACACACACACACATGAACACATATATATAGATATACACTATATTAAGACTGCCAAGAGAAACTCAGTTTTAATAATGATCAGACTTGGTTGCATAAAATTTAAATTGAAGACTAATATAGACACATTGCGGTGGACACTAGGGGGTGGGGGGTAAGTTTTGCCTCTATGAAATTGTTTGTGGGCTAATGGTGGACGACAGCAAGCGACGATTGCGTGCGGCACGCATCTTCATCATCTTTATCAGGCGCTTGGTGTATTTTTTCTTCATCACCATGTTATGGCAGCGCTTGCAGCACTGGCGACGCTTACGGTGGTGACGCATTGTAGCCACCAGCGAGGCGACTTTCTTCTGGAAGTGTTTGTGCCCGCGTCCGACTCGATGGCCATGACCATGTCCATGTCCGTGTCCGGGCCTGCGTTGCTGAAAGCGCATCAGGGCAGTGCGTGGTGCCACTGCAATTCTAGAGACTTGCGGCAGAGCGTCTACCATCTCATGCCAATCGCCAAGGGGTTTCGATTCCTCTGCCATTCTATTCGTTCGCCAAACAAGTCACAAGGAATCGGAAACAAAATTGAAAAAAGTAAAAAATCTAAAATTGAAAATTCAAAATTCAAGGAGTAAAAAGTATTTTAGAAGTGTTCACTGCTGTGCCACAGGCCTTACTGTTCCATTTGCTTTACTCTTAAATATATCTGTTGTTGTCCGAATCGTAGCCTACTCGAAGCTGAGTATGAATATGTATTGAAAATGCAAAGACTCAAGGATCAGAAAAATAAAGAAACTTACTCATATATCAAATATGAAATTTACAATCTAATCAATATTTATTTCGTATAACTTAAGATTAAAATTGTGAAGATTTATTTATTTTGTATAACTTTTATTTATAATACATACTCGCATATATGTACATATATCCTTGTTATATATGTATGTATAAATAGGTTACAATAATAATAGAGTTATGATTAGGTTTAAGAAATAAGTGTAAATGGCACACATACAAAATTAGATTTGTTTTGTTAAGTACAAAAAATGTTAATTGTGGTTTCTCGTTTTGTGTGCTCTTTGACTAAATAAATTTAGAAAATCCATTAAAGTTTTTTTTTTTTTTTTTCTTGAACTACAATCATTTATATCGTTTAAGAATTGGTTAAAAGCTAAAGTTAACAAATGCACAAAGTACATTTAATACTTTTCATTTGAAGCCGGCTCAACCAGCTCCACAAGTTTGCACTCTCTATATTTATGGACCTGACCTAGTACCAGCGCCCTTCTCGGTAATTCTCACATAGCTCACAAACATGCAACACATAGAGAATAGAGCTCTAGAGCTACGTATTGCTTAGCAGAAGGCACAGCATGCACAGGTGTGTAGAGTTTTTCAAAGGTAACAGACTCTTAAGCTAACGCTTACGAATAAATTTACATCGACGGTGCTCAGAGCCGCTCACTAGTAGGAATACGAGGCGGGCACCTCGAAGATGATATTGCCAGCGGAATGTCGGAAATTGGGCACCTCCACATTGGACGCCGCCTCGACAACAATTGTGCGCGCCTTCTCGCCCAGCCGGCAGGCAATGTTGCTGCCCACATTCACGCGCAGCTCCGTGCCGGTGATGCTGTAATTGAAATGGATCTATAAGATCTAATTGCAGTGGGCATTTGGGGGGTAACCTACTCATGGTACTTCTTGCACACAACGCCCACTAGTTCACCTACGCGATCCTCCTTGAGGGGCGTGCCCATTTCGCTTTGCAGGGCGAAGACCAAATCGTTGTTCTTCGGCGAGTGGAAGACGATTAGCTGATCCCGACCAGGCGTTATGCTAATAGAGGTCAACTAAAAGAAAAAGTGAGAGGCTTTCGGTATAGGCGGACTCCCATTGATGCCAGTTTCCCTTACCTCTCTGATGGGCATGGACCGCTGCATGTCCCTGAACTTCTTCTTGATGCCCTCCAATTTGTAGATGTTCGTATCCGTCACAATGAACGCCCGATCCGCCTGCTTGTTGCGCCTGTTGAACTTCTTGGCGAAGCTGGAGAAGAGCACCTGTCGGATGTTATCTCCTCCGCTGTCCTTCATGTTCCGTACATTGGCCGCGTAGGCCTCGTAGCCGCTGTTGTCCTGCGAGTTGGCCAGATAGTCGCCCAGCCACTTGCGCTGCTGTCCCCAGTAGGGTCGTCGTCCCGCGATGGCCGTGGCCGCAACGATTTGCAGTCGCAGCTGCGGCCACTCGCTGCGCGGGTATCTACGGAGTATCATGTAGGCACGCCATTGGTCAAACATCCTGCGCAGCTTGGCCTCGGCCTTGCGTCCTGCGAGGGGCGGCTGGGGCCACTGAATGCTGCGCCCATAGTCACGCTGATGCTTCGCATTGCGGAAGCGATTGGCCAGCTCCTGGACGTAGCTGCGCAGCTTGTAGGTCTTGTAGGCGTGCATTATGGTGCGTGCCGCCTTCATCTTCTTGTAGTTCTTGCGGGCTATCCAGCCTCGCACCTGCTTCTGCAGCAAGGTCACAATGTGCGGAATCATCTCATTGCGCTGCTGCTCCAGGGCGAAGAGAGTGCGTGGCGAGCGAATAAAGATCTTTGTGTGCCCATACTTCACGTCCTGTGCGAAGCCCTTCTCCTCGATCAGCACGCGAACTCCGTCGCGCTCGCTGCCTGCATGGAAATTCGGCCACGTGTACTGCGAGATCATTTTGTAGCGCAGCAGGAACTTGTCGTAGCGCTGGCGATGCACGAAGCCGGCGCGACGCACTCGCACATTCTCCAGCAGACCCAAGTAGCGCACCTGGTGCTGCACGCGCTCCTCGTCAAACACCGTGGAGCTCTTAATATCGTTTGGCTTAATGCAGCGCACGTAGAAGGGCTCCTTCTTCAGCAGCGTGGCTACCAGATCCGCCATCGAGCGCTGGAAGAGAGTGCCAGCAGTCAGAGGACGCTTCGTGGTCTTCTTTATATCCTGCGCTCCCTCGGGCCACATTTCGCTGAGGTTGGCGTCCTTGGAGTTGTGCAGCAGGCGCTTGAAGTCCTGATACAGCGTATCCTTGTTCTTCTCGATGAAGCCAATTATGTTGTAGATCACATCGCCAGCATAGTGGGTGATGCGGAAGTCCTCGCGATGCTTCAACTCCTTGTCCATCGGCTTCAGCTGGCGACTCGTGTAATGCGGATGCTTGCTCAAATTCTTGTCCATGGCGCCCAGGAGGGTGTCATCGGTGACATTGCCGACGCTCAAGCAGGCCTCGTCCATGATAGCTATGATGCCCTTGTGCGGCTGCTCAACCAAATCGCAAATGATCTAGCAATATGTAAAGAGTGGAGGGAGAGAAAGGGGAGTTAGAGATCATCCAAATCACGACCAACACTATTCGTGCTTACTTTGTTGTTGAAGTACTCAATGTTGGTCCACTCGATGCCCTCGCGCTGGTACTCCTCCTGCTCTTGCTTCAGCACCAGCTCTGCAATGAAAGAAACGCTGTTAGGTTCTACTCCTCCAGTGGCATTAGACGCTTCCGCTCACCTATGAACAGCTGCTGCAGCTTCTCGTTGCAGTAGTTGATGCAGAACTGCTCAAAGCTATTCGAATCGAAGATCTCAAAGCCGTAGATATCCAGCACGCCGATCACTGAGTTGAATCTCGCCTGGGTCTTGCTGCCACGGAAGAGTATAGCACGGTTGATGCGCGAGATGATCCACGTGAAGAGGCGATCATAGATGGCCTTGGCCAGCGCGTCCTTGCCATACTCCGCCTGCGTGGCATCGTGATCCTTCTTCATAACATTGCCTCCGGCTGCAATCGTGCGCTTGGTCAGTGCCGTCGACAGCTCCGCCTCGGTCACCTGCAGCATCTTCGCAGCCGACTGCAAATGCGACTTGTTGCTGATCACCAGCTCGTCCTCGATGGCTACGGGGACAACAAGGCAGACGGGCATTAGTATGCTTCATCATTATTAGAGGGTTCCTCTTTGCTAACTCACTCTGGAACTCCACATTGCCCAAATGCAAAACGGATGCAATTGTGCGCCAAATGGTCTGCACCTCATCCGCCTGGAAGCCGAGCGTCTTGAATGCATTGCACGTGCCCTTGTAGTCGGACTTCTCGGTGAGTATATCCATGCTGCCCTGGTTAAGGTAGTGGTACTTGGACGTCTCCTTGAGCAGATCATACTGACGCAACTCATGATCGTTGGCACCGCGCAGCAACTGGGAGGGGGAAGAGTAATTAGTAGATGCGTATGGGCTAGATTATTGTATGATGTGAGTATACCCCTCAATTAATAGACCTGCTAGCTGTGAATATACCCTTTAATATAGTTAGAGGGTTGGGTTGCTATCTGTTGGGATACCCTTTAGAATAGACAGAGACAGAGCTGCTAGAGAGAGTGCATACCCCTTAGTCTAGACACAGTCCATGCATTGGCTTGCCTCTCCATCCAAAAAGAGAATTTACAACTATTTAGTACAACAGACAATTAGCAACAAAACGTTGTCCATAATTGAACTTCCGCTTTAATTGTCGCCATTCACGAGCTGCTGAAATGAGCCGTGGAATTTTACTGTTTAGTTTAGAATGAAGTCACATTCTCAGACAGAAGCTCGTGTAAGGCCAATGATACCGAATTTCTATTCCCAATATTAATCAATAACCGGGCCGACGTGGCTTTGTGGACAACAGGTGCGCAGTGTAGCCACAGATATCGCATACATTACATTACAAATAAGTAAATAAGTACACATGATATCTATCATCTGCTCGCTTGGAGACACTACTTAAAGAAATATACATATATACAAAACTATCTATATATAGTTTAATGAAGCGCTCTACAGAGCTCGAAGCTGAAACTCGCTTAATTAAGAAATTCTATTTAGTTTAGGTGTTAAATGGAGAAGTAAAGCTGGAAATTCTTTCGTCTCCATAGATGGTCTGAGACAATTAACGCCTTCAAGCTAAATTTAACAGCTAGAAGTCAACAAAGAGCAATCTCTCATTTTCTTTTCAAGTATAAAATTCCAAATAGGAAGTCAGTATTTATTTGATGTATATGCGAAATACGATAATGTATAAAAACATATATGAGTAAATAAAAGTTATGTTTGGCGAGCTATACATTAAATACCGTGGCGAGAGCTGATAAAGTTTCATGCATGTGTGTGAAAGAAAATATCTTCTTTCTAATAAATATATCCCTCAGCTCAGACAGACGGAATTTGATGATTAAATGGCTGAGCGCTGACGAATTTCAAGTTCTTATAGAATGACAGACTTTTCTGAACTTTCATATATTTCGCATGATATCATGCACACATATATTCATTTAGAATTATACGGAATGTATGGATTGTGAGATCAGCACAATATAATCAAATATAATCAACTTAATTTCTGAATAATTTTTGAGCTTCAATTTGAATGTCTGAGTGTTTATTGAGCCATAACCTTTGACATGTACAGGCTAAGATTTCGCTAAGTGTATTCATCAATTTTAATGGGTCCACAGCTTCTTGGCCTTATCCCGCAGTTTATTATAATGTAAGCTATTAATACGCTATTATTGGAGTTTTATGGCTCTGCAATCGCTGATTCATAAATATTTATGGCTGGGCATATCGGCAATGGATACCCTTCTAAATAGAAATAACTATTTTACTAATATTTATTGTCTATATACATATATATTGTTTACACAGAGCCGCGCCTTGTTACTCGCACCTCCCACCTCACAGCTCACACCTCTAACCCCACAGCTCACACTAGACTTTCGAATGTGACCTGCCCACCTGCCTAAGCCACCCCGCTGACTCAACTGGACAAACAGCTACACACCCACACACTCGCACACACAAACGTGGGCCCTTACCTGGTAGAAACTGTGGAAGTTTCGCTCCCCTGGCTGCTGCTGCACCACACGCGACTTCTCCAGCAAATAGTTGGTTATGATGCCGCCCACCGGATCGGCCTTGTAGTCGAACTCTATGTCCATGTATTTGCCGAATCGGCTAGAGTTGTCGTTGCGATTCGTCTTCGCATTGCCGAACGTCTCCAATATCGCATTGCTCTGGATCAGCACGTTCTTCACTCTGCAGGAGAGAAAATCGTTTATTATAATTGCATTTTTATTAGGGTGGACCCACACCAAAAAAGTAATTAGCTAAATGGCACCAATCCCCCACCTGAGCCACTAAATAAATGTCAGTTTAAATTGTTTTAACTTTGAGACACTAAAAATTGGCAAAGTGGCAATTAACCTCGGTTTTGTCTAGGGTTTGGCAAAACCCCGCGCTCCATCAACGTCTCCTCTTCTCTGCTTTGCTCTCATCCACTGTTTTTTATGGCTCATAGTTCGCCCTTAAATTGCCATGGAGCGATTACGACCAAATGCCTTTGTATAGCTGAAAGCGTGAGCAATTAGCGTCTCACTTAATTTCGTACAGTTTATTGAAGAGTCGTATTCGCTGAGTGATGTCATACGTGGTTCACAGTTCACCCAGCGCACTGCTTTATACCCTCTTTGCGCCTCGACCTAGGGAATGCTCTAATGAGAGCTTCATTTCGCATTTGCATGCCACACAATGGGAAACTTGTGATGCCTTGGCCTTCTCTTGAATCGCGTCCCATTCAAATGCTGGTTCCCAGTCTCAGGCTGAATCTCAAGCTTCATCATTTCCATACTAATGTGGATTTTGTGTGCACTTGATAATACAGTTAAGTGAACCTGAACCGAGCTTCTCATTAACCCATGAACTAGAACTAGTTTTAATTATAGTACATATGTAATCAACCAATCAACCACCTCCACGTTTCTACTATTTGTGATAAGTGCATAATTGTATAATCAGTTCATTAATTGAGCAACTTGTCGTGGAAAAGGTTTCCAATACCGATATATAAAACATCAAAGAATTGATATTAAATTTATTGAAACTCGGAACTAGTTCACATCTACTTATATTTATATATATTGGGATGAGTTAGTTAAATTACCTTTCGATTTCATTTTGGCCCTGTGCGTTCGTCACTGCCGCAATATACTTCATGATGATCTTGGAGGCTTCCGTCTTGCCCGCACCCGACTCACCAGAGATGAGGATGCATGTGTCCTGGTGGCGCTGCTTGAGCACCCTGTATGCGGCGTCTGCGATCGCAAACACGTGCGGCGCATTCTCGAACAGCTCCCGACCCTTGTACTTGCGTATGGTCTCCGGGCCGTAGATGTTCATCTGTCTGTAGGGATTCATCGAGACGCACACCTCGCCGATGTATGTGTAGATGGAGCCAACGTGGTAGCTGCAATCAAGAGTCTTAGATTAGTGTTTGTTGAATCCCAATCAAATCAAATTACACATTTAAATATCTCGAGTGACTATACAGGGCATAAGGAATAGACCCACAATGGGCACTCGACTGCCCGCCGTGCACCTGTCTGATTCCATTCCCAATTTGTTTTTCAACAAACCAAATCGACCTTTTTCTGTTTCTGTTGTTGATATAATTCCCCCTCTCCGGAGCTGGATTAGCCACAGGCGTTGCTCAGTTGGATTGTATTAATATGCCCCGTGCCTTTGTTGTTGTTGTTATCATTCAAATCGATTGAATTTCTGTTGCATTTAAGCTTGATAGAGTGCAAAGCGCGTGGCTGCATTGTTTGTTTATTTTGTGCGCAGTTCAGCAGGCGCCAAAAGATTTAGATCGACTGCTCCCAATGCAACAGGTCCGAATCTGGGCCAAAGTTTGAGGCAAGTGCAGGCTATTGATAAATATCTATGTATATGTGTATAAGTATATATATCAGAATGACTTCACTCATATCTGGGATGCTTAAAAAGTTATGTAAACAAGCAAAATGAAAAAATTCAATCAATTTTCATTCGAAACCCCAATGGAAAATCTCGCATTTTATTACAGGTAATACAGTTTATAAGTTTATAAGTGCTTCTTCTTCTTCTTTCCTTGGCTGCCTACAGATATTTGACTAAATTTTCATCAGCTGAGTAAACATTTCAAATTCAATTATAACTTGTATTTAATTGGTTCACAAGGCCTTGCTCAATGGTAATACATTTACCAAAATACACTGTAACAAGAAGTGCATCACTTGTAGGTGTTGGGAAATCGTGAGCATGTAACACTGTGGCAAATACAAAACAGAAAGAGGTTGGCAGCAAACATAAGAAAAGGGAAATGGCAACATGAAACACGGTGTGCAACAGGTGAGCGCAGTTACAAAACTGTGGGTTACCCGTTGGCCACGCCCCCATCACAGCTGACTGCCGAAACAAAACGCAAGAAATTAACAAGCAGTAGAGAAAGAGAAGGGATTAGGAGTGATAGACTATAAGCTACCCAGCTATATCCCAGTCCATCAAACCCTATCAACGTACGTGGTACGTGGTGAAAAAACGAAAATTAGAAAACCTCTAAGTCAAACCCGTCAAAACTGGAGAAATTGTTGACAGCACAAAGTATTGTCTTGGCCCGCAGCTTGAACTCATGTATACAAATATATATATATACATATATATTTATATATAGCTATAAAAACAATAGGTCTTAATATTAGTATTTATTGTTGTTTCTGTTGTTGCCTTTGTCTTAGCTGTTTGCTGGGGCCAAACGGCAGTCAACACATGTTTTTACTTAAGTTTTCTTCGGTGTTTATTTATAGAGGTGTCTAGATTTGGGTCACAATGTGACAACTCAGGCGGAGAGACAGAGAGCGACGACAAAGAGGCGGACAGAGAGACAGCAGACAGACAGAGCCGAGAGCTGCTCAGAGATGATTATGTTGCCCCACCGCTGAACTACTGAACTCCACTGAAAGGGGGCGAGAGCAGCGTTTAGCACGCTTGTTGACTTTTTAGCACAACGGGTCACATTTCAAATCGGAATCAGAATTGGACTTGGAAATGGAAATGGAATTGGAATCTCAACAAAGGGCAGTCAGCAAGCCGCTTAACAAACTGTTTATGCGATTTCTACGATTTCGGTCTCGTCTACCCCTTCCCTTTGCTCGCCGTGCCCCACCACCTGTGGCACTTGGCTGTGGGTGCCGCCCACGTAGCGTATGATTGACAGACAGCCAAAATACAAATATGCCGGCTGCCTAATGAGGTTATAGAAATTGCTTGAGGCAGTGCTTACGGAGCACTGTGCGAGCACACGCACAGCACCATATGTGAACTACATTGTGTCCCCATATCTCACATCTCAGATCTGATCGGGGAGACATTTTGAATGCTGACAGTCCGATAAAGTTGTCATAACTTGAGTGAGCTTCTAGGGATCAATGAACCTCATTATTCATACATTTAATACTCGTTTCAAATTGTTTTCCCCAATGTCCAACTACTATTTCCATGAGCACAGCGATATGTCTTTGCTCCTTCGCACTTCAAGTTTTATTATCACACATTTAAAAGTCCATTATAGAGTCGCTGCGAGCTTAGAGGGTGTCAAGTGGACTTGAATTTCATAATATTCTTTGACTCACTCACTCCCTGGTCTAATCCCCTTTTTCATACAGAATATCATATATGTAGAATCTCTACTAAATTTTATTTAGAGAAATGATTCAATATTTGCGTGCAAATTTGTTGTTCATTTCTAGATCTGCATCGTTTAGCATAATTTGTTAGCACAAAGCAAGGGTATATATATATATATATATATATATATGTATTTATTTGATCGGAAACTAGTCGAGACACGCCCACGGGTCTCAACAAGTTTTACGGAATTCGGAACTAGTCTGCGCCATGAATATCTATATAACAAATGAACGAATTTAAATGCTCATCGCTCATCGCTCATCGCTCATTGCCTTCACGCGTCCACACATTCACATTGAGAGAGGTCGTTATTCATTGCTATTGCCGAAGATTTTTGATTTTTGTATTTAGTATTTCGAATATTATGCCAAATGACGTCATCAATGTACAAAAAGCTCCATGGGAAAAGGCGCCAAAAAGATAAAGATTCTTAACATTTATTTGTTGTTTACACAATTTGTTTGTCCTACGACTACGATTACGTCTACTACTATTGTGAATCATTCAGATTCAAATATTGAGTAGAGCATTAGCGCCATAAATAAAAAGCCTCGTAACACGTTGGCTGACTAAGCCTTTGTTTAATTGCTCAATGTCTATTCACATGCAAATTGCATTGCTTATAAACACTTACTTTACCTCGCGATGATTCATCGACTAAGCATTCGTTCATTCATTAAGTCATTCAAGATTTGAGGGTTGATCTAGTAAAATTTGAGAAAATCAATAGCTTCGCTCATTTTCCGCTGCACTTTTCGCTAGCCAAGGCGGCAACTGACGCTGACGTCATCAAATGGCCAACAGACTTGGCTCTAAATAGGTCAATGTTTCATTTGCTTTTTGTGGATGTAATTGAATTCAGCGATTTATCGATGTGCCAAACGGAGAGCCAATAGAATGGAATTCAGCGGTGATGACAACTGGCATTGCGTGAGAAGCGTAGAGAGAGGCGCTGAAACGTCTTGAGCGATTGTGAGAAGCGCAGAGAGGGGACTTGATGGAGCTATATATACGACTATGATAAGTGCAGGGCGAGGTCCTGCTGAGGAGGCAAGCACGATTAGCAAAATCCCAGAGACTACGGCATTTACTTCTCCGAATCTTTCACAGATGTACTACTATAAAGAGTGAGTAGTAAATGTAACATTTACTTATAAGAAGCACCAAGAGCGGCTCTGGATAACCAAATGAGATTGTAACAAATATATTATTCAGTATTATTCAGTATACTTGCATGCCGGCCAGAGACACATGACACACATAACAGTCGAGAATCCATTTCAAATGATGGCAACATCTGCTTCGAATCAAATGCACATTCAGAACTGACCAGTTTCAATTTTTCAGCGCAAAACACTTTCAATTTCCAATGGAGGAGGATCTGGTGAGCTCGAAGATTTCTGGTTTTGCGCAATGCAATTGCATCTTTCAAATTAACTTCAATTTACACCCAGAATTGTCTGCGATGCGGCCCAGACGCATATCAATTAGCTGGCAAGACTAAACAGGCGCTAAATTCTCGGACTCGACATGGGCATACATTTTTATGTAAACGTTGCCTTATAGTTTATTCGGTGAGCGGGCAGCTGGCAACGCGTTGCAACGCCGAGTTGCAGATGCCCCCAAGTAAAAGTTATTGCAACGCGAATGACAAACATGAACGTTTCAGCGCTCAACTAAATAAACACAATAATGCAGACAGCGCTGATGTCTAGCTGGGCCTCATAGTCCGGGAAAGGGACGGAGATGTGGCCAGATGAGATGGGCCCAGATACCTGGAATCTGCCTCTGGGACTGGGAGTCGGCAAGCTGCTGCTGGCCATTTGTGTGATTTGTATGTATGCATGTAGAGTAACTGCATTAAATGGATGGGAATGTGACGGGAAACAGGACATCATGTAACACAGATGTACATTACTGGTATTGGGAGTCGGATAGTGGGAGAGGTTTTAGAGAATGTTGAATGTTGATGTTGTGGCTATAGCTACATTAGATTATACCCTGGCGCTGACTCCGAGTCGAGCTTAGCCTCCTATCTTTCAATCACTACTCCATTGCTATAAAGTGCAATACCTTATCATATACATTATTGATTGCAGGGTATTCACAAGTTCAGCACACTCTGGTTTTTGCTGGCACTCATTAGTCAGGTATGACTTGAATTGGATTGCTCATTGATCATTAAGCCGTCTCGGCCAGCGCGACGCACATTAGTGCAAAGAACGTGGCTCAATTAGACGAGCGCCGAGCGATGGCCAACGATTGCCATTCGAATTGACCGTTATGTAAATGATTTCATTTCCGCTCTGGGACTTTATCAGAAAGGGCTTATCAGAGTGCTAGAGGGGCGGCAATTGATAGCAGCTTATCAGAGAGCGCGTTCTCGCGCAGTCAGGCATATGGAATGTGTCGTCTAGCATTGGCTGCCAGACACCTAACTGGATACATAGATGGGCGCCTGTGGACGATCGTCTGTGCAGATGAAAGCGAGTCGAGGTGCGCTTTGAACTGCGCGTTCGTTATAATGTCTTGCATCTGGTCGATCATGCACAATCTCGAATTAGGTAAAGTTGCACTGGTCTTTTGTACAAATAAACAGACGTGCTCTTTGATTGCAATCGGAAATTGAAAAGGGAATTCGTAAAGCTTCTTTAATGGCCAATAGCAGGCACACTGCATAAACATCAGGTTCTTTCTTTCTGATTTTCTTTTTTCATTGTGCTTCTTCTTTCTTGTTGG